TGGATTGCCAGCTGACTAACTTCCCGTCAAGAAATTGACAACCACCAGTTGTGCTTTTACGGTCCGAGTCCACAACCTCCAAGGTCAGCATCAGAATAGGCTTGAACAAAGAAGCCTGAGTTGGATGGATACCAAGACCTAAGGAGGTGGTTCGCTTGAGATATCGTAAGATGTTCTTCACTGCAAGCATGTGAGGTTCGCGTGGGTTTTGCCTGAAATCGAGCACAATAACACACAGAAAACATGATATCAGGTCTGCTAGCAGTTAGATACATCAGTGAGCCAATCATTTGACGATAGAGCGTGATATCGACAGTTGGTTTGTCTAGGGATGGGGTAAGCTTGGTGCCGAATACCATTGGGACTTTGACTTTTGTGTCTCCCATCATACCAAACTTTGCTAGGAGAGTCTTCGTGTAAGCTTCCTGATTAATAAAGATGCCTTCGGGTCCCTGTCTTATGTTTAAACCAAGGAAAAAGTTAATAGGACCCATTGAGCTCATTTCAAACTTAGTCTCCATCAGCTTTCTGAATCAGCTGTTAAGCTGGGATTCATGGAGCCAAAGATTGATGTCATCGACATTAATTTGAACTATCATAAGGTGGTTACCTTCCTTTTTGCGAAAGAAGGTTAGGTCAACCGAACCTTGTTTAAATTTAGACATCTTTAAAAATTTTGTAAGCTTTCATACCAGGCCCTCGGAGCTTGCTTGAGGCCGTACACAGCTTTATCCAAAATATAGCAATGATTTGGATGCTTTTCGTTCACGAACCCAGGAGGTTGCTCCACGTACATAGTTTCTTCGAGTTCTCCATTGAGAAATGCACACTTGACGTCCATTTGGAAAACCTCAAAGTTCTTGTGAGCAGCATAAGCCAGAAATATTCTAACAATTCTAGCCTAGCTACTGGAGCGAAAGTCTCTTCATAGTCTATCCCTTCCTCCTGACAGTATCCCTTTACCACCAGACGAGCCTTGTTCCTTATAACATTACCTTCCTTGTCCATTTTGTTCCTAAAAACCCATTTGAGACCAACAACCGAAGCATCTGGAGGAGTTGGAATGAGGCGCCAGACTTTGTTCCTTTCAAATTCGTTCAGTTCGTCTTGCATTGCTTGAACCCAATCAGAGTGATCTAGAGCAGAGTTAACAGTCTTCGGTTCAACTTTTGATACGAATGAGTTAAACATACAAAACTCAACTTTTGAAAATAAGGATGTCTGTTTTGCCTTCAGTTGTGATCGGGTCAGAACCTTTTCAGAGACATCACCCACTATTTGAGAAATAGGATGATTTCTGGTCCATTTGATAAGAGGAGGGTAATTCGGATCAAAGGTTAGGTCTAGTTCAGCATTAATCATTTCTTCTGGCTTAGATTGGCTATCGTAACCGAGCGCCATATCATTATGTTCCCCCTCAATTGATGAGCTTTGAGAACATGAAGATCAGGTGTTTCTTGTGGTACTGAGCTTCCAGGTGTTGAAGCACCTTCGGTTGGAGAAGCACCTTCGGTTGATGAAGGACCTTCGGTTGAAGTTGTAGAATTGGGCTCCCCCTGGACTTGTGAGCTTGGCTCCCCCTCGACATGAGTGATTGGCTCCCCCTCGACATGAGAGCTTGACTCCCCCTCGACATGAGAGCTTGGCTCCCACTCGACATGAGAGCTTGGCTCCCCCTGGACAGAAAGCGTTGTTGGGTGGAGAGTCATTAGTGGTCGATTCTCCTTCATGCATTCTTCTTGCAGCATCTTCGACAATCTGCTTCATATGATCAATTTTGTTGTCTGCTGCACCTGCTTCGGAGAGTGAAGCTTTCTCTGGTTCGTCAAAGAGCTCCAGAAATGTCTCGAATAAATTGGCGACCGAAACTGTGACCTTGTTAGTTAGAGGAAAGATTTCCCTGCGGGTGTCTTCTTTGGCCTGTAGCTTCTTGACATAGCTATCGTCAAAGGTCACATAGTATGTTCTTCAATCCTTCTCGAAACACTTGTTTAGGACCCTGTACGCCTTGGATGTGAGTGAGTAACCCAGAAAATTCCCTCGTCGGCTTTGACATCAAACTTGTTGCGGTGTTTCTTTAGAATTAAAGATGAAACACCTTGAGCGAACACATGGAAAAATTTCACATTGGGCTTTCTGTTGTTTCAGTATCTCATATGGAGTGAGCTTGAACCTCTTGTTGAGATAGGACCTGTTCTGTGTAAAACAAGCAGCCGAAATAGCGTCAGCTCAAAAATAAAGAGGTAAGGAAGAGAAACTTAGCATAGTTCGGGCAGCTTCACACAAAGATCGGTTTCGTCTTTCGACTATTCCGTTTTGTTGCGGTGTGTAGGGAGCTGAGAAATTGTGACTAATTCCCTTTTCTGCAAGAAACTCTTCAAACTCCCTGTTCTTGAATTCGAGACCATTGTCGCTTTTGATGTTGCGAACAACCTTCTTGAGTTGTACTTCAATTTGCTTGATAAACACTTTCAGCTTTTGAGTCGCTTCAGATTTGAGCTTTAGAAAGAACACCCATGTAAATCGTGAAAAGTCATCAACAATAACAAGAATATACTTGCTACCACCGATGCTTTCGATAGATGAAGGACCACACAAATCGATATGAAGTAATTCGAGTGGTTCAACAACTTTTGTGTTGATTATAGATGGGTGACTTTGACGACTCTGCTTCCCCATTTCGCATGCAGCACACAAATGATCTCTGTCGAACTTGAGCAATGGAAGACCCCTAACATGACCTCCAGTGACAAGTCGGTTGATATCTTTAAAATTGAGATGAGATAATCTTCGGTGCCACAACCAGCTTTCGTCGGATTGAGCTTTTTGACAACAAGCATATAGCTGGGTTTCCTTTGATGGGTTTAAGGTTTAAGGGAAACATTTCACCCTTTCGCTCTGACTTGAGAATCACTTTCTTTGTCTTTTTCTCTATGATTTCAGAACCTTCATCATCGAACGAGACTTTGAGACCTGTACCTCCAACAAGCTGAGATACACTAATGAGGTTGTGTTGGAGTCCTTCCACATAAGCCACCTTCCTTATAGTAAAATCCCCATTTGTTATCATCCCGTATCCCTTTATGGTGCCAAAGAATTATTTCCAAACTTGACGTTGCCACCATTTGCAAGAGATCTGTATTCCCTAAGCTCCTCTTTT